CATTCAAAAAAAAAAAAAAAAAAAAAAAAAGGATAGCAAGAGAACCAATAGAGAGGCATGACATTAGTGGGTCAGAAATGGTTTATTACCTGTTGGTAATAACATGTATAGTATTCTCAACTGGACTGGTCTGAGAAGTATTTCATGTTGGGTAAATTCTTTTTACAAGCCAAATGATCTATAGTGACTGAATGTTTTAAAAAATGAGAATGAGAATAGGAATAATAATCTAAAAAAATTATGAAAAGTTTTTTGATGATGAGGATGTGGACACTAATATCTTTGTCTTGATTGACATGCATGGTATTCCCGCTGGAATAAAAAAATAATACATTGTAAAGATATATTTGATTCAGGAACCAGCAGTTAGCGTAATGGCTATGTCGCTGGACTCCCACGTAGTTGACCACAGTTCACGTCCCGGACCCGGTGGCTTAGAACTCACGCCGGGCGCGTGTGCGTGCGTGTCCAAGATCCCGAGAGGAGAATGGAGGAGAAGGGATTGCGGCGTGACCATCCCCCCGGGGGGTGATTTCTCGCTCTCCGTCTCTATGTCTCTCTGTCTGTCTGGTGAGCGCACGTGCCCTATCGCGAAAAACCTCTCCAAAAAAAAAAGATATATTTGATTCAATGTAATATAAACAAGATTATGATAATACTAAATAAAATTAAATTAAAAAAAGAAAAATAAACTTGAATATAGAAATATGTAATGGTAATGCCACTAACTCAGGAGCGTTTGTATCTATACCAACTTTGCCTCATGCAATTTTATAATAATAAATTAATTAACTTTTTAAATAAGGAAGAATTTAACATACAACATTATGACCTTATAATTATTTGACAGGGTCTCAGTGGGAAAAATACATCACAAAGATTGAGGAAGATTTATTTAAGAAGGGATTACTCAGGTGTGGGTACAGTAGAGAATGAAAGGGATAGCGTAGTAACCTGGGACTGGTAGCAGTGAAGCCTTTATTATTCAGAACCCCAAAAGGACAGGGATGGTGTGGTTACCAAGGTGTGGAAGGAGAAAGTCATGAGACAAAGTCACTCTCAAAGGAACAGTGGCCTTTGGTTGACAGACATCACCAGCCTGAGAGCATCCTCCCAAGGAGAGCATCAGGAAGGGAATCCTCTGCTCTCATTCTCCTTCCTCTGTCACTGCAGGCACCTTCTGGGGCTCTCCATTGTCCAAACCCAAGGAGAGTAAGGGGATCCACTACTGTAGTCCATGCAGCTCCAGCTCCTTGACACGGTGTAGGGTAAAGGCCTAGCAGGTGGATCTGGAAGGGCAAATGGAAGAGAGTGAGCCTGGAATTTAAGGACTGGTTTCCATTTCTGTGCCCAGTCTTCCCTGGGTAGTTACAAATTAATCAGCATCAAGGAAAAAATTGCTATTTCATTGCAACAATGACCGTATCTAAATTTATTCCAAAAGCAGCAAGTTGAACTAGTGGTCAGTGGTTCAGCCAACTGCAATGTTTCTACCCATTCCATGTGCTGCCTTTGCTTTCTAACCACATGTTTCTTTCTTTGTGGTCTTCTGACTGCACAAGAAAGTGAGTGTGGACACAAGAAAGGCAGCAGCAATGGGACAGAGCATTTCATAAGTAGGGCAGGAAGCCATAGAACTGCTTACCCAGATCACTATGTCCCATGCTCCCAGAAACCTAGAGAAGACCTTAGGGGTTGCTCATGAGACATGATGGATTACAAATTGCCAAGTAGTAGGGCAGGCTCCATGGTACGGTGACAGTGCGCTGCTCAAAAGAAGCCAGACCCACATGGAGATGGAGGTTTACATCCCAGTCCATTGAGTCTGACACCCATCAGGCATGTGTGCAGGTACCCAGGACCCACCAGGCTAGAGGACTAGAGGAAGGGAATCCCAGCATGACCAGACCAATGAAAGGTGCTTATCTGTCTCTGTCTGTCTCTCTCTCTCTCTTCTTCAGTCTCCCGTGTGCACACATGTGCTTTAGCAAGAGTAAAGAAAAAAGTAAATTTAAATAAATAATTCAGTAAATGGTTGCAAGTGGTGCACAGAAATAGACAGGGAGAAAGAAGTCTTAATTCACTCTGAGGAACAGGGAAGTTCTGAGTGTTCTCCAAACTTCTCAGGGAAGTTCTTTCTGCAGCCAGAAAGATTCTATGTTCTTTATGATAAGAAACATTATTTACTTTTATAATTTATAAACAAAGTGAAAGTTATTGTTTTGGAGAAAAAGAAAATGACTAGCAGTTCACCTGTTTGGCTACCTTCTTACAGATCATTCTTTTTCTCATTTCTTCTCTGCTTCCCACTGACTCAGATGTGTCTGACTCAGGTAATGTGCAGCCGCCCTCCCCAGGGTTCTAGATTATCTCCTTGTCAAAGTGACCCACTTGGCTGTCCTGCCAGCTCTGCTACCCGCACACTCTCTTCCAGGCTGGGCAGGTCCCATGGGATGGGGGAGCCAGAGAGGGCGTCGGAGAACAGGCCACGCTCCAACCCAGCCTGCCACACATCTCTGCTGGCCTGTTATGTGGACAGGACCCTCCCTCCTGGTTAAACCAATTGCAGCATTAGCCTCGAGGAGGAGTAATGGGATCCACATTCACTGAAATATTAACTTTGGACAGATCCAGACCCACATTTGATGCCTATGGTGTGGACAGCTCACAGAAAGACTTTGACCCCAAGTCTGTCCATGCTGTAATCACAATCCGTACATTCGCTGTGTTTCATACCATCATTTTAAAGGACTGCATTTAGAAAGCCCTTTCCTGTCCTTTTCTCCCCATCTTACCTTCCATTCCTGTTTCAGTACAGATAGGCTTTCTGGTGGGTTTGGTTGTGCCCAGAATCCTTTGGCTCAATTTTTACAAACTTTTGACCACATTGAGAAGTAGATTTTATAACTTTTACAAGCTAAGATTTCTCATCTCTGGGGAGAGAAACTATTTTAAGGTGGATTTGAGGGGTCCTTTCAAGAGGGATCCTCTGCTATCAAGGAAATGGCAGCAGGGTCAACAGTAAATTATGGGGAGCTTAGGGGAAGGAGGCAGACTAAGGGTGGACCAGCACCCATGTCACTTGTGAGTGTGTCACTAGGTTCCATCTCGTTTGCCTTCCATGGTATTGGCATCCCTTCATGACAGCACCATGTTTTTAAGCAAACATGAATTGTTCACTAGATAGATGCAAAGCACCATTTTAATGAAGATCACATCATCCTGGCCCCTGAAGTGTGGCCCTTCAGGAGTATGTGTTTTGTCTCTGACTAAGACTTCTCACCAGGCACTTGTGTCCTCGGCAGATCTGGGGATTTTCCGGAGGGCCGCCATGGTGTTCTACACGGACTGCGTCCAGCAGTGCAGTCGGCCTCTGTATATGGTACGTGCATGCTCCTGTGTTCCTTGGCCTTCTCCCAGAAAGCAGGGGGGAAGGCAGGGGAGCAGGTCAGGGGCAGGGCAGTCACTTAAGGCTCCCAGCATGAAGAAGGCCAGATGGCCCACAGTGGCTGAGGTCCAGTTAGTGGAAGAAAAGCATTTCACTCACTCCTTTTCATAAAAGGCATGCTAGAGTGGTCTCACTGTTGTAGATGAAAGAGTTCCTGCACAGAAGAAAGCATATATACAAAGTGTAAAACAGTGATAACGGCTGTGAAGGAGGATCAAGACTGAGGCCCCTACCAATAATCATTCCAAGAGGTACCCCATGAAAATGAACGTCACACCAGGACAGCAGGCAAAAGCCAGGACTACCCTGGGCAAACAGGGACATGTGGTCATTCCACTCACTTTCATTACAAACATACTTTCCACTTTATACATTTCCATCTTGTTTAATTTTTTATAATGAGCAAGAATACTTGCTGGTTATTTCTTTTACTCTTTTTTTTATTTTATTTTTTAGATTTTTTCCTTCAGCATGTGCTCTCCAGAGAGAGACTAAGAGAAAGAAAGTGAGAAATCATGCCACAGAGTAATCCCTTCTCCTCCATTCCCTTCTCAGGGTTTTATGCACTCACGTACACCCACCCAGTGTGTTTTCAGGCTGCCAGGTCTGGTACTCAAACTATGGAGTTGGCCATGTGGGATCCAGTGCCTTAACTACCACACCACCTGCTGGCCCAAAATTGGCTATTTCTCGATGGTTGAAATATACTTCTAAAAGTTCTCCCTTATAGTTTCCCATATATTATAAATTTCTACCATGAGTGCAGAGATCAGTACTCTAGCCACAGCTCTGTCTTGGCTCACTAGTCAGTGACCTTAAGAAGACTGCTGACCTCCTGTGAGTCCACTGCCCCAGCCTTTAGACAGAGCCTAGGTCAGAACTAGTGATGCTATTTGGGCCTGACACACAGGAAATTCAATATATATACATGTTAACCATTTATAATCAGAAGGATATTTGCATAAGGAATGTCAGAATCTTTTAGCCTCTACAGCATGGAAAGGAGTTATAGGCACTAAAAAATGGAGAGAGTTGAGGCTGGAAGGTTTTATTCTGGTGAGAATTTAAAAATTGATTAGAGGGGCCAGCAGGTCATTGGTGGTTAAGGAGCTGGACTCCCACATGGCAGACCACGGTTCAAGGTCCAGAACTGGCTACTTGCTTTCTTACTCTCTCTCTCTCTCTCTAACCCCCTCCCCCCATTTCTCTGTCTCTCTCTGGTCAAAACTGAAGAATAATGATAATAAATAAAATTAAATCTATACTTCTTTTGTATAAAAACAAGTTTATTAAAACCTGTGTATATTTTGAGAGTTAAACATGCTTAGGTGTGAATATCTAGGAAAGGCAATAAATGTTTTCGTTTGCTTTTTTTTATTTATTTATTTTTTACACTAAGTGATGCAGGCTTCTTCTTTTAAGTAGACCTTTTTTGTAGAGCAGTTTTAGGTTTATAGCAAAGTTGAGCAGAAGTACAGAGATTCCCCATATGCCTCCTACCTGAACACCTGCCTAACCCCCACTTCCTACTATCCTACACCAGAGTTATACATTGCTTACAACCAATACATTGCTTGAACCTGCACGGACACACCATTATCACCCAACCACAGTTTATGTAGGGTTCTCCCTGATGCTGTACAGTCTATGGGTTTTGGTAAATACATAATAGCATGTATCCACTATTATAGCAGCAAACAGAGTTGGTTCACTGCCTTTAAAGTCCCCAGTCTCTTCCTATTCATCTCTCCCTCCCCTCTTAGCCCTGACAACCACTAATCCCTTCACTGTTTCCATGAGTTTCACTTTTCCTAAATTTTCATGTAATTGGAATCATGTGGTATGTAGCCTTTTCAGTGGAAGACTTTCTCCCATGTGCGTCTGAGTTTCCTCCATGTCTTTTCATGGCTTCATAGCTCCCTCTTTCTAGCACTAAATAATATTCCATTTTCCAAATGTACTGCAATTTATCCATTCACCTCCTGAAGGACATCTCGGCTGTTCTCCAGTGTTGGTAGTTATGAATAAAGCTGCTATAACATTTGTAGGCAGGTTTTTGTGTGGACATAAGCTTTGAACTCATGTTCCCAGAGTAAGCGAATGTTTGGTTTTGTAAGAAACTGCCAATCTGTCTTCCAAAGTGAATGTACAATTTTGTATTCACGCTAGCCATGAGTGAGAGTTCCTGTTGCTCCATCTCAATGTCAGCAGTTAGTGTTGTCAGTCTTTTGGATTTGGGCCATTCTAATAGGTGAATTAATATTTTTAAGTGAAAATATTTCTCCAACTTGGATGGATCCCCTACAAAGACAAAGAATCACTACTTTTAAATAGTAAATGAGTGGCTATACAAATTAAACTATAATCAAATCTTACCTAAAAGTTTTAAGTAGTATGTGAAGAAGTAGACACACACTGTGATGAGTAACTGTATCAGAGTAACAGCCCTTTAAGATAGACCCATCTTCTCCCCTACTCATTAATTTGAGTGTTAAGATTGAGTGTCATAGAAACCAGGAGACTGGCAGGTGCACAGCTCCTTGGAGCCAGAGTAGTGGGTACCAAACAAATGCCCTCCAGCTCGGTCTTGGTTGCTCTAGAGGCCACTGAGTAAGAGACCGCAGAGAAACAGTGCTCTACTACATAACAGCAATGGCAGAATTCTTTTTTAACTGCTAAATAATCAGCAAACACCACCAGCTTCTTTCTGAGAAATGAATCCAGTTATCCAGCTCTACAATGGGCAGGAACAGCTGAGTCCTGCTTCACCGACCACGTTTTTTTAAACAGAGAAACAGTCATGTTTGTTTGCTGTCAGTCTTGTCTGTTAATCCCTGAGGAGGATTATGCCAGACCGTGGGCAAAGTTCTTTGAGAACTATAAAGTTTTTCACCAAGGCAATTGTTTTCCCACAGTTGATGCTTCCATTATGGTTAAACTAAAAGTAGTACATGCCGCCTCTCAGTTGATGTTTCCTTTTCTCCTTTCCAGGATAGAATGGTGTTGCTCATTGTGGGGAATCTGGTTAACTGGTCCTTGTAAGTATTCTTACAACATGTTTTTATCTTTATCAATGTCTATTACTCTGGGTTAGCTTTCCTTGTCTACCGTTTTTGTAAGAAAATCTGAAATTAAAGAGAAGGTAGGGCTATGCAGTCCTAGATACTTGAAAAAATCATCCTCCTTCAAAGAGACCAAGAAGATCTCAAGTGCCAGTAGCTTTCTTGAGGCTTTGATGCATTTAGTTCATTCGTTCAAAAAAGCACAAACATCAAGACTTTTTTTTTTTATTATCATCATAATCTTCTTTATATTACATTGGATTACATATAACTTTACATTGACTTCCATTGCTTTTTCAAAAGGGAATGCCATGCATGTCAGTCAATACAGAGGCATCGATCTCCCCGCTTTATCATTCAAAGTCTTTTCCATGCATTTCCCAATAATTATTATTATTATAATTTTTTAAAACAGTCAATCACTATTTCTCATTTTGCTTGTTAAAAGACTTCACCCATCATGAAATACTTCCCAGACCAGTCCAGTTGAGAATACTATACACGTCATCTTCAACAGATAATGAACCATATCTGTTTCTCACTAACATCCTCTCTATTGTTCACTTGCTATCTTTCTCTATCCTCTTCTCTCTTCTTTTTTTTTTTATAGTTTATTTTTTATTATAATTTTTTTTCCCATCGCAACACACAAATGAATTTTCCATCCAAGATATACTGTGCATTGGCTCAATCAAGCACGTCAACATATATGTTCTCAGCAAATAATTTCCCAATTCTTGTGTCCTGCATACCTTGCCTTTTGTTTTACCATCCTAGGTTCCCCATCCCCCTCCCTCTGTTATGACCCATCCTCCTCCCACATTGTCCCTGTCATCCCCGATTGCCCTCCGTGCCTCACCCCTCCCCAAATGATCTGTCAGTGATCTTAATTAGTCTAAGTCTCTCCAATAGTTATCACAGCTGACACATGCCTCTACATGAACTCAAGTCTGACTTTAGGCCTAAACCCCATTGGGTAAAAAGAGCATACTATAAAGTAGAACCCAACTGGGCCCATACCGCTCACTGCAGCCATCAAATATCCATTTTTTTTAAAAAAATGGTACGAATAGTTTTACCGTTTTTTTTGTTGTTGTT